CCGTGGGAGTCGCTAGCCAGAAGCAGCAACATCGTGGACATCAAAGAATTCATTTGTGGTGAGAATCCTCATCGTGTATCAATGTGGGAAAGGCTTCAGGACCCTTAGGAAGCGTTGGAGAACTGAAGGAAAGCATAAGTAATGGAATAACCATGGGAAAAGTGGGGGGACCTCGTTCGTCTCTCACAAGATGTCAGACTTAGCCCCCGACTGCTGTGAAGCTGAAAGGGACCTTGGCGATCATCTTGTCTGACTGCCTCGCTTTCAGAATCGGGGAACAGGGTGACAGAGGTGAACGGGCAGTGGAAAGCGCACTGGGGCCGGTGCTCTAAACCCAACGGACCTGGGCTCCCATCACGCCCCTGTTGCTCCCTCTGCGCCTCTGGATGAGGCCCAGGACCTCCATTTCCTCTTCTGTAAAACAAAGTCATTGGCCTTTCTGGCCTCTGGGGTGCCTTCCCACTCTCAGCCTCGGATGCTATGACCTGAACCCAGATTCTCTGATTCCAAATTCAAGGTCTTCCCTTTGCGCCACATCTGACGCTAGAAGTTGTGCTATTTTTAAGGGGAAATTTCATAACGACTTAGCAACTTGTTAAATACTCCAGAGTCGAGGCTGCGTTTGGTCACCGGCTCTAGCCCAGTTTGGTGCTTTGAGAGGCAGAAATGCCTCCAGCCTCTGTCCTGTCCCTCTTTACTCCAGATTGTGTTTGCTGCCCTCAGGCGGTCTCCATCAGGGCAGCTAGCAGGCTCAGTCTGAAATAGCACCTGGACTATAATGTTACAGAAATAGATCTATTTTCAATCAAAACCACCAAAATGTTATTTATTTAGTTATTTGTACAGGATTTGCCTTCAGTTTTCCTTTTTATGCTAAAATTATTAGCCATCCATAACCAAAAAAAAATTTAAAATAAACATAAAGGATCATTGTACGTTAAGTGTATATTATTACCTTATGGACTGTTTGTTCAATAAACCAAGCTGTCCGCTCACCCACGTCCGCAAGATGGCGACCAAAAGATTCTGTTCGTTTCTCTGGCCCTCTGTGGCCCCGGGCTCTCTGGTGTATGTTTCTGAATGTTGCTGTCATGTACTCGGGTGTAGTCTTTGAATACATGTTATCATTCCGACTGCCTTCCTTAGTCTGCATCAGTTCATACGCCTGCCCGCATCTCTCTGTAGTCTTTATGTATGTGACTTGTTGTGGCATTTTAATACTCAGTTTAAGTCAAATGAATAGAGGTACAGGGGATGAAGTACTGATCAGGAAGCCCTGATTAGACAGTTAACCAGCTGTGTGACTCTGGGCCGTCATTAAACCCATGCCTGCCTCAGTTTCCTCGACTGTAAAATGGGATAATCACAGCACCCACCTCAGGGTTATCGTGAGGATAACACGAGACAGTATTTGTGACAGCCCCGAGCACAGCTCCTGGCACGTAGTAGGCGCCATAGAAATGCCTGTTGTTTCCCGTTCCCGTTTTAGGAAGACTGTTGAAGGGCAGTAGAATGGAGTAGAGGGAGGATCGGCCCCTGAGACAGGAAGACCCGGCTTCCAGGCCCATGTCTCACACACCCTTCCTGTGTGGAGGCAAGTCCCAGAGCCCCTCCGTGCCCTGGGCGCGTCTCTGAGGGCATAACGCTGCAAAGCAGGCCTGCGGAGAGGGAGTTTCCTTGCTATGCCAACTTCTCTCAGATTGTTTTGGACTCAAAACACCTTTGTATTCTTAACTCACAAAGAGCTTTTGTTTCTGTGGGTTATGTCAGCCAAAAGGCTTGAGCCAGCCTCTACCAGCTCGCTAGAGCCGATTGTTAAATTTTCAGGAAGTCTCGTGAGCTGGTTGTTAAACTACCATTACTAAAAATTAAATTATATAAACACGCATATATTAAAATAAAGGTAACAAATACTCAGAACTCATCACTTCCTAATTATTTGTTACATTTTACTGTTGCTTATGCACTTGAGGTTATTTTCATCTATTTGCATGAAGATAGCACATAATAAGTGCTACTTAGAATACATCTCTTCCCAGTTCCGTGTTTGGTGATGTATATGTATGCATACTCCCCCCCCCCCGACTTCCATGGAGAGCTGGTTGTTAAACATTTACCAGCATACCACAGGCACTCCTTAATCAATATCATATTAGAAATTAAAACTGATAAGATTTAAAAATACTAATTTTTAAAAAGCAATTAAGCTCATTACATATAACATGGTCTTTTTTAATGAACAGTATTTTATTTTTTCTAATTACATGTAAAGATAGTTTTCGACATTCATTTCTTTAATGAGATTGTGAGTTTATAATTTTTCTCCCTCCCTAAGATGGCACGCAATCTGATACAGGTTCAATACGTGTGCAATCACATATAACATGTTTTTAATGAAAAATAACTTTTCCACAACAGCTAGTGAGGATGGCATCGTCTTCTATATTTTTCCGGGTCTCTTTCTCTTATCTGCTTCTTCATTCAGTCTTACGATGCGCTGTTTTGGGTGGAGCACAGGAAGAGCGTCTGACTTCACCAGACCGTAGTTGGAAGAGGAAGGGCCATTTCAATAGGCAAATCGCCTCTTAGTACTATTATGAAAACAGTCTTGTCCTTACAGATGTTACTGTTACCATTTGTCCTTCGATCTCGACTAGGCCCGTGACATTAGGGAGGTGACGCCATGACGGGCAAGTGAGTTTGAAGGATTCAGGGGACACCCAGAGGTTCACTGACCACGCTTTGAGAACTTCTGCCCACTACCAGCTCCAGTCCCTAAACATTTACTAAGTACCTACTATGCGCAGGGCACTGCAGAGGAAAAGGGCACACACAAAACCACTTTTGTTCTCAAGGAGTCTGCGTTCTCCTGGGGAGGTAAAGCCCATTGAGACAAGTCAATTCATGCTAGTTTGATGAGGGGTGAATGTTACCAATGGGCAGGCAGGATCAGAAGGACCTGCATCGGAGGGGGCCCCTCTGGTAAACCTCAGAGAAGGACGCCAGGGTGAAGGAGGGCACCGGAGCGCCGACTGAGGATGGTCTGGCCGTCCTGGAGCACTGCAGAAGGGTGGAAGTAACGTCAGCCCGCCTATCTCCCTGACCCCAGGATTCCCGGCCCAGGAGGCAGCGAGGGTTGCCTAGCTAGCGGAGCTCAGAGACCTGCCCCCGTGCTTGTTACAGGCACATAGACCAGGGGAGTAAGCGGTGCGTGAACTTCACACACAGACCCTGGCATTATTATCCCATCGTCCAATGTGAAGTGTTCAGAGCGTGTTGGGGGTTTGCTTACTACTGTGGAGGGCACCCCGTCCTCACAGTCCCTGGGCTCACACCCTTGGAGTCACCCTGGATCCTCACTCTTATCCCCCTTGGCAAGCCATTGCCAAGACCTGCCGAGCTCCCCTCTGCTACGTGTCTCAGATATGCCCCTGATGCTGCCCCAGCCTGCCGGGGAGTCTGCCTGCCCTCAAGTCTTTCCTGCTCCAGTCCATCCTCCTTTCAGCTACTAACGTGATTTTCTAAAGCCCAGGTCTTACCATGTCACTCCCCTATCAACTCCAGTAACTCCTTACCACTCCCCAGGGTAGGGAAAAGCGGCCTATAAAATGTGGGACTTTAGTTGGGACTTGAAGGAAGCCAGGGCAGTCTGTAGGTGCAGATGAGGAGGGGGAGTGTTCCAGGTGTGGGGGACAGCCAGAGAAAAGGCCAGGAGTAGGGAGCTGGCATCTCAAGGCCTCTGCGGAGCTCCTGTGCACATGGTTTGGGCTTTGCACAAACCCACAGGCAATTTGCAAACATCTCGCTGTCCCTCTGAGCTCTTACCAATAAATGCTTATTGACCAGTCAGTCAAGCATTTATTGAGCATGTGCTAGAGATAGAAATAGAAAAACGAAGCAGTCCTCACTCTCAGGCTCTCAGAGCCCACATCGTGTTGAGGGAGGTGATACGTACCCGATGATCTCATTAGCATAGGCAAGTCCCAGGGAAAGAGCTAGATAGTATATTTAAATTCTACAAATAAAGAGTATATTTGTGATCTAATAGCAATATGATAAAGATTTCAGGTACAAGTATATAATAGCATTACATTTATTTGTTATTTTTAATATAGCATTTTAATATATTCAATATTTATATTATAGAAATATATAATTTAATAAATATATTAGTATTTAGTATATTATTTTAATATACTTGTTTTATATATTAAAACATAGTTGTTATTACATAGCAATTTAAGGCTTGTAAAGTGCTTTACAAATATTTGACCCTCACAACCACCATGAGGGGTAGGTGCTATTATCTCTTTTATAGATGAGGAAACTGAGGCAGACAGAGGTGAAGTAACTTACCCAGGCTCACACAAGCAGTGAGTGTCTGAGGCTGGATATGAATTCAGGTCTTCCTGACAGGCCTAGCCCTCCATCCACTGCACAACCTAGCTGCTTAATACAAAATTGTGGTTTGTCCTTTGTTCTTGAAGAGGACCATGACATCATGGAGGTGATGCCATAACTTGCAAGTGAATTGGATTTAAGTGAGGGAGGGCTATGCCGAGTCACCAACCTCACTTTTCTCCTCAGCAGCCATTTGGGTCCCAGTAACCAGATGCAGATCAAGGTGACTGGAGATGGCCGGTTAGTACAGAATAGATACAAAATAAAGGCAAGGTGGTTTAGGGAAGGAGGGGAGTGGAGTTGGGAGGATCAGGAAAGGCTTCTGTTAGAACGCAGTGATCCAGTGGAATCTTGAAGGAAGTCAGGGATTCTTTGAGGTCCAGTGAGGAGGGAGTGCATTCCCGGCATTCCATGCCGGGATGCCCCCAAGCTAGATGCCGCTGCAAAGGAAGAGGAAAGAAAGTTGAGACAGCTAGAAGTCCATTGGAGATGAAAACAGATTTCTGTGTTCCTGAACCTTGGTTTGAAGACTTGCCCATACCAGGCTTCTGGCTCTCCAGACCTGACTGAACCTTCCCTTGAAGGCTAGCCCCCTTTTCTCAGCTCCTTCTTATGTGTTCATCCATTACAATGAAGCTCGGTCAGGGCAGGAACTGTCTTTTCACTTGTATTGCGCTCCCGGTTTAATGCTCTGTCTAAATCTATTTGTCTATCTGTCCATCCATCAGTCTATCTATCCATCCATCCATCCATCCATCCACCCATCCATCCATCCATCCATCCATCTATCCATCCATCTAGCCATCCATTCATCTATCCCTATCTTTCCTGTCTGTCTGCCTGTCTTGTCTGTCTGTTTTCCTCTATCAAGCATGGAGCCAATAGGAAAATCGGTGTTTGTTCTTAGATATCTACACAGAAATGCTTCAAGTATAGACCACCAGACAGACAAGCTGATGGTCCAACACAAGCAAATTTGACATGTTAGGTAAAACTAAGACTTGGTGGGATGTGACCCAAGTCTGGAGTATGGTTCTGGTTGGAAAGTGGATCTACCTTATTATAAAGATGTGTGTGTAAGGGGGGGGGGGGGGGGAGACATTTAATGAAATCAGAATGCATTAATACCGTACTCTGTTTTAGGCACAAGTCTACTGGAAACGGTTTAATTTATTATTATTCTACAGGGGAAGCTAGGTGGCCCAGTGGATAGAGCCCTGGAGCCTGCAGTCAGGAAGACCTGAGTTCAAATCCAGCCTCAGATACTTACTAGTTATATGACCCTGGGCAAATCACTTCGCTTTGTCTGCCTCAGTTTCCTCCTCTGTAAAATGTGCATAATAATAGCACCTATCTTGCAGGATTGTTGTGAGGGTCAAATGAGATAATAATTGTAAAGTGCTCAGCACGATGCCTGGCACATAGGAAGCACTATCATTATTATTATCAAACCAGAAATGGCTTGGAGAGAGAGAGAGAGATGTCTTGAAATGGCAGAGTTTGCTCTTGGATTTGATGTTTTGCCTCAAGAAAATTTTAGGTGCCACTTAAAGAAGAAAATCACAATAAATAAAAATACACTTTGGGGTTCACATTCCAGCAATTTGAGTAAAGAAAGTCACCATCCATCCCTCTCCCCGACCACCCCCTTCTCTCCAGGAGTAAACAAGGAGAACTCTCCTTTGGATTCATTTCACAGGCCTTTGTCAAGGGAGAAAGGTTAAGTCCTGGGGCCGATCTCGGCTGGCCATGATACGTACCACAGGAAACAGTTACTCCTGGCTAAAAGGTTGGGCACCAGGTTAATCCATTTCCCATAGAAGAGACTGTTTGTCCTGACCTATCACCCACCCCTAGTTAAAAAGGCAGTTGTATCTAGGAGTCTGGAAAAGGCTTTAGAGGAAAATATTTCTAGAGAAAGTAAAGTGGAGATTTTTAATATGCTTCCACAATTATGTTACAAAAGTACCCTTATGTGGGGAAACTGAGGCACTAGGGAGAGGAAAACATTGTGGGGAGCATTTTAGTAAAGGTCAGTGGAGGCAGAAACAGAAGTGATTTTGTCATGGGGACAAAGAACAAACCTCCTTGAAGGAGGATGATAGAGAAGGCAGTGTTAGAGGTTTGATATAATAGCGGTGAGTGATAACAATAGTAACATTAGCTAGCATTCATATAGCACCTACTATGTTTCTGGACCCCTGCTAAGCTCTTTACAAATACCTCGTTTGATCCTCACCACAGCCCTCTGAGGTAGGTGATATTATATCCCCATTTAACAGCTGGGACAAACTGAGGCAAACAGAAGTTAAATGACTTGTCCAGGGTCACAGCTAGTAAGTTTCTGAGTAGCATCAGTTATCTGGATTTTGCTGGAGCTGTCCAAAAAACAGAGCAGCTCACAATTACTTGATTTGTCTTTATAATATCACGCGTCAGAAGGTAGAAGCATCATCAAAGGAAAATTCTTTTCTTGGTCTGAGTCATAGCAATAGGGAAGAACTGGTGTCTGGAGTGAAAATAATGGGAGCTGTTGGGAGAAATGACCATTTCACTGAAAATGTTCTAGTAGAGGAAGAGAAAGCAGAGACTACTCTGATATTGGGGAAGGCCCTTTTGAAAGGGTTCAGAAGGAGGACACGTAGGCCTGCATGAACTAAAATGCTGCAGAACTTAGCCAGGAGGGACAGGAAACCCTCAAGAACACAGCTGTGCAGCCAGAGATAAACTGTTCAATAAGGAAGAAAAAGGATGTGGTCTATACAAGAGATCAATGTGGATGCACAGGAAACTCACCAGCGACCCGCAGTTTCTACAAGCGATGCAGGTACCTCTGAATCCCATCCCATATTACAGGGTGCAGCACGAGAACTGGCAGCAGTGTTATAGGTCAAAAGGAAAACCCCTCACAACAAAAAGGCTGGCTTTTTTTTTTTTCTGGTTAGGCAATGGGGTTAAGTGACTTGCCCAAGGTCACATAGCTAGCAAGTGTTATGTGTCTGAGGTCGAATTTGAACTCAGGTCCTCCAGCCAGGGCCGGTGCTCTATCCACTGTGCCACGTAGCTGCCCCTGGCTTTTCTTAAAAAGCTGTATTAGGGAGTGGGGGAGGACCAGAGAAGGGGGACCGTGGCCCTGAGTGGAGGG